CTGAGCAGGTTCCTGCGGCGGAGCGACGTACGCAGCTTGCGGGTGGTGGCCCCAAGCACCCAAGTTTGCCCCTTGTTGCGGTTGAAGATGCGCATACGGCGGCTGCGGTGAATTTGTCGCCCACGTCTGTCCACCGGGACTCGTAGCCGTGATTTCGGAGACGGGCCTCCAGCCTGGTTGCTGCTGCTTGTTCTCGTTCTTGTACTCTTGCGCGCCGGTGTACGCGGCGTATCCACCCGCCCCAGTGCCGGCGACGCTCGCGGGCGGGCTGTATTCGGTAAAGGGCCCGTGTTGTGGGTTATTGTGGCCCGTGGCACCGATGCCGCCGCCGAGCATTGGGCGGTGGGACTCGTCGTGGGCGTCGCGGCTTCGCTTGATGCGCCAGATAAAGGCGGCGAGGCAGACAAGAGCGATGGCTCCTGCGCCGGCGCCGACGCCGACGCCGATTTTGGCGGTCGTGCTTAGGCCTTTGTCTTCCTGTGCTGGAGTCGATGTCGCGGGTGTAGGTGTTGATGTGAGGGTGATGGTTGCTCCGCCTGTGGTGGTCGTCATCATGGTAGTGGGCGTAGCTGTCTTTGATGTGGATAAAGTTACTGATAGCGATGCTGTCGCGCCTGTCGCGCCGAGGTTGAGGAATTGGTCTTCAGTTATGGATATTGGCGTCTTGGAGTCTGAGCAGGCGGTGCTCATGGATTGATAGACTGTGCGGAGGGTATCCTTTGCTTCCTTTCCTAGACACGTCGCTGCGTTTGTGACGAATTTGCCCTTGTCATCGCTGCAGAGGCACTTGTTCATCGTTGCGACTGTGTCGCCGTCGCATTTACTTGCGTCTGAGGAGGCGTAGAGGCATGGTTGGGCGGCTGCTGGGTAGAGGTCAAAGTTATTTTGGTATTTTGCGGGAGCTGGTGCTGCGAGGAGGAGAATGCTCAGCAAGCTCCTTGTCGTTGTATTCCTCCGCGCCGACGCCATTGTGAAGAGTTGGAGGGAGTGTCGCTCTGTCTGCTCTAATCTCGAGATGGTGTTGATGGTTGAAAACCAGGGGTTTTGGGGGCCGGAAGATAGATCACTTTTGGGTGGTGACTACTGTAGAGCTAGGGATCGACAATGCGCGTCATGCACTTGGGCGGCGTCGATGAAAGTCTAACTCGAATTTCGCTCAATTGGGTTCCGATTCAGGTTGAGGCGGTGTCTCAGTGCTGTTGGTTCGGTCGTCTGAAAGAGTCTCTGTGGTGTATCCATACATTCGTGTCTGCTCGCCAGAGATGGTGATGGCCAGGTCAAGGGGTCTAGTTGAGTTCGGCGGCAGTGGGCGAAACAAATTGGCAGAGATACCAAGTACTTAGTAGAAGGAATGATGAAGGAGGCGTGACGGGGGGTTTTAAGGAACACCGTCCGGAACAACGATTATGAATCTAGATGGAGCCGAGCTAGAGCAAAGGAATGGCTGGAATCACTAGCGCAACAACGGACGGATTGACGGATTGGAGGCTGAGGCTTGGATACCTCTCACATGGAGACAATGGGCACGGGGAGAGCGTAGAGAATGACGAAGGGTGGGAATGCAGCGGTGCAGTGCAGACGATGCGACTAGGGGGAGGGAAGCTTGTTTCCCTTCTTTCTTTGCCTTTCCTCGTTGTTGTTTGGTTCATTTCTCTTTTTGCCTATATGTAGGGCTGAAGGCTGAGCATCAGCGCAGGTACATGTAACCATTCATAGACACACATTGAGAACCAGATGTATAAGGTTACAAGATACTGGTCGAGGCACGAAGTAATATTGTCCAGGGGCTGCGTTTGCTTCTGGACGTTCCGCAAGGGAAACCAGAGCAAACTTTGAAAGATGCTTCTCTATGAGGAACGTGGGTGAGATCGAAGACATGGAATCGGGACGGGACAACGAAGCAGACTGGAGCATAGCGCCGGAGGATCTGCGACCCTTGCCGGATTCGACGAACCGGGGCTAATTTTAGAGGCTCATAAGCCCCAGTCGTCTGGGCTGGCTGGATGACCGTCAGCCACACATCCAGCTCTGCTGTGTTCCTCTGGTTTCATTGTAAAGAGTGGGATACGGGAAGAAGACGAGAAGGAGAACGAAACGGCCTTCTGTTGTGACATCTTGGTCGCCTGTGAAGAAGGCGCATCGTAGTGCTCTTGTTGAGGAAAGTGAAGAATATCGAACGCTTTCAGTCTGAGACGGATTGTCTTAGCAGCCTGGTCAATCGACATTCCAGAGCAACTTGCCAAGACCATCAACAGAGAGTTGACATAAGCGCACACATCCGGGTACTTCATCTCATCTCATGCCCCAACCCCCGTGGCTCAGCTTCCCCGGCAACCCGGATGCCGCTGGAACCGGAGGCAGTAAGTTAACCACACGCAATGGACGGATACTGGTCGAGGGAAACAACAGTGTGTCCAGAGCGAAGGATCACTCGTGGATTCGTGGCACGGTCATTCGGAGGCTGCAACAACGGCCTGAAAATAACCGTCAAGCCACGCGAATCCAATCTCCTGAATATCGCTGCCTGCGCTGGAGCTTCATCGCAAGCCTCGGGGGGGAAGAGAAAGGGAACTGGTTCGGAAGAGACAGGGGGAAGGGAGGGGTCCAGCCACCACTGTCAGGCCGTCAGCATTATTTTATCTCACTCACAATTTTTCCTCGCTGGCTCCTGGTGGTGACGCTATAATCTGACTAACCTAAAAGCGGCCCTCTTTTGGCGGCTGCCTCCCCATGCAGCGCCCTTGCGTCATGTCATTGTATCTTAACAATGGGGAGCGCAACAATGCATGTTGTGGAATCTAATTCTTCGGGCTGGCTGTCAGTCTCTTTCGAGGCACTGGGAAAAGCCGTGGGCGCTTGACTGGTCATCAAGTCCGCGATGTCACAATGATATCGAACGCGTCCAACTTCCTGTGCGGTCTTCGAGCATTGAAGATATATTGGACCTGTTCTCAAAGACTGTATAGCGTGTGGAACAAAGGTCAGTGGCTTGGATACTGGTTATCCATCTCGAGTCGAGTGACACCGATAGTATCAGAAATTTGCGAAACCTCGTCGAAGAGAGCTCTCTTTCAACATTTAAGTCTATTGAAGCCCTGCTGGGAAACACAACGTTATCAGTTCTACCATTTTTACCAGTATTGGGTCTATTTCTCCTCATCACCGACGGCAGTGAGCCTGCCGACAACAAGATACTTGCTGTCAAAGTTCTCCTCCCATCCTTGAAGCGCCTCAATCTCGTCCGGCCCCAGTCCTTCAAGCGGGTCCAACGGACCGTCCAGATCCTCCGTCAACATATCCTCGTCAAAGCTGCCGAGTGCCAGGCCGCGCGAAGCATCCCGGCCGGCGAAGTTGGAGTAGGGTCCGCCGGGTCCGTAGAAGTTGCGACCGTGTGAGACGTCAAAGACGCGGCCGCGGACGGCGAGGTAGATGGGTGTATCGTTCTCGCCGGTAAAGGAGAGAAGGGTGCGCGGGTTGAAGACGCGGAAGACGGTCGCGGGCGGCTCTTTCGGAAGGACCGGAGGCGGGGTCGGTCGGAGGAGGACGTAGATTGTGTAGATGTTTACGAGGAGGAAGAGAATGTTGAGAGGGGTGAAGAAGGCGTTGCTGAAGGGTGATTAGGTTAGCTGACTGATTTCCACAGAAGAGTGAGTTAGTTGACTTGCCCTTGGTCCACGTGCAGCTTCACTGCTTCCTCCTGGAGTCGCTTGTCGACGTAGTCCATGATGATGGTTCGAAGGTATCCGTACGCTTCGAGGGTTTGTCGGAGCTGTTGTCTAACCGAGGTTCAAGGTATTCTAGCTTGCCCACAACGTTGATCTATTCTAGAGTTCTAGAAAAATGATATCGAACATAAATTGGCCAGTCTCGCTTCGTATCGCAAGATGAGGCTGTTCAAGCTGTTGTCGACACGAGAATCATTGCGAAAGCGACCTCTCACCAGACTCCGTCGGAGCTCTCCAAGTTCCCGTCAATGGCTCGGGCCCCTGCTGCTCCGTGCACTGCCGAGCTGTGCCCCGCCAAAGCCCCATCTTATGTCATCATTAAGTTCAATCCACTCGATTCACGTGATGTATGCTTTGTCAGCAATACGATCTAGAATTGAAGCTATCACGACTTCCCATCGCTGGGGTCGCTGATGATCATTTCAATAGTACATGTATGTGATGTATTCTCACGTCTCATGATTTGGAGTTTTCACTCACCTTGAAATCTTGTCAGTCTGTCGTATACCGTATCAGAAAAGAGCTCTAAAGCATATGCTGGGAACTCGACCACAAGCCGTGTTACGATGAAGGCCACGGAAGCACCAAAACGTACACATGTATGTACTACCATATTACTATGCCTTCGGGTTGACTCAGAGTTTCTGTACTGCTAGTGCGCGGCGACCTTTCTACAGAACCGTCCCTACAAACCATTCCTTCAATCTTAAATCAATGAGGTACAACAGCCTTCGGCAAACAGGCAACCTGGTTTCAATTCACTCCGACAAGACAAAGGCTCGGATATAGCCCATGTCAGCTTCAAATGCCTAATGCGATCGATGGGTGACCCAGAAAGCCTGAATGTGGATGCCTATAGGATATAAAAGTATGTCTCAAATGAAACACATTGACATGGTGAAAAAGGTGTTTACTAGACCTGTGAGTTCAAGTTGCCATTTTCAACATCCAATTCAATCCTTGTCGCTTTGATGCTATAAGCATCGCTTGTCATCTCCGTGATCGTTGATCGGACGGTCTCTAGATAGCTCACTCCTGCTGGACATCAGCAGCGCGCATAATGAGCATGACGATGATGATGAATTGTTTAACGCCGGTTCCACCCCTCAAGGGGTAAAGGGCGCCTACATCGGCTGCCGGAAACTATCTACCACTACACATAGTGCGAATAAAAGAGAAAAGCAATATAAAATCCTTAGCCTTAGGCCCGTATCGCGAATCAATCTTGGTGGAAGCGCGCATGCCACGGGTGATGCGAGAGGTAGTCACCTTAATCTAGCCGCAGTTGAGGTAGAAGTCGGTACCAGAGAGCTTATGTAGAGTAAGACGGTTAGGGCGAACCAAGAAACCACCAGCAGCAAGGTTGGTGGGGTTAGTGAAGGCATTGACATCCTTATCGTACGTACCCCACTCCTTAGTAGCGCTGGTAGGAGAGAACTTGACAGGACCAAACTCATAGGCCCTGAACCAGACGCCTGAGCCGTGGTAACTGAAAATGTTGCTCATGGACTTGCTCCTCCAGATCCGAAGCGCGCTGGGATGCTAGGTCTTTGTGCCGGCGATCATCTGATTTTGATATTCTGATTAATGAGACTAACAGCCAGTATGATACCACGTAGTTTGTTTACTGAATCAGGTGTAGCCATGTTTCATTCAAAGCCTTAACTTATGAACCCAATTACCCATCGTAAATTACACGTCCCGATTCGCCGTTCCCATGACCGGAGGTATTCCCTCATTACATTGACATTATTTAGACAGCAGCGGCAACCTTGAGCTCCTTCTCGACAACAGAGACATTGTTCTTCTTGTCGATAGTCTCCTCAGCACCGAAGGAATCACGTCCGTCGGCGAAGACAGCCTCAAAGTCGTACTCTGACCAGCGGATCTCGGGAGCGAGACCAGCGAACTTCCAGACGCCGTCGACCTTCTTGTACCAATGCTTGTTGTAGCTGTGAGCGTGGCCCTTGACGGCAACGTCCTTGCGGGAGGCGTCGGTATACTTCTGGTGGGGCACGCGGAGCTGGTGGTGTCCGATGACCTCGGTCTCGGAAACCTTCTCCCAGCGGGTGCCGCCGATGAAGTGCTGTGTCTTGAGAAGGGGGTTGCCGAGGACGGACTTGTCCGAGATCATGGCGATGAACTCCTCCGCGGGCATGGCCTCCCAGATCTTGTCGAGGAAGGAGCGGTAGTCAATCTGCATTAGATCAGTACAAATGTACAATTCCGGAGGCAGTGAAGAGCATCATCGTGGGACGGATAACTTACGCGAAGCTCAGGGGCAATGCATTTCCTGAGACGATCCCAGTCCTTGGAGTCGTAGCTGTCGGCCCACTCGAAGATGCAGCCAGAGAGGCCGAGATAGTCTGAGCGACTCAGTCAGTCGTTATCCAGCCATTGTGCATAGTTTCCATGACTTACCCTCAAAGGAGATGTTTCCAGCAGGGCTCGCCATTGTGTTTGAAAGGTTGATGTAGAAGTAAGTACAGGGAATTAGCTGGGATATCGAGCGAAAGATGAAAAGGCAAATTAAGTGCACCTTAGAGAAGGATATCGATGAAGTTTATAGTTTACCGAAAGAAGAACAGACTGGACGCAATGAACAGTCCGATGTCAAGCGATCAAGGCCTACCTCATGTTCGTTCCTAGCAACCGGACTGCCGTCAGACGCCTGGGCCCCAGGTACGGAGGCCCGGACGTCGAACTAGCGGCCCCCGCACCCTTTCGTGCGTGTCCGAGACCCCTATTTTTGGCGCCTTTTCACCGGACTCAGGTGGGGAGATGCCGGTCGTGAGACCACATCACCTTCAGGCTCCGCGGCTGCGACAAAGACGTGAGGCGATCTGCCGCAATACGTTAGCCATGGGATGACCACTACGTAGTTGGTCATAGCCTATTCAATTCAATATCGAAACTGCTAGTCTGGTTATGGCTGAAGGGTTGGAAATGAAACAGCCGCTTAGTGTTTTTGTGTGGGGAATCCGCTCGTGAAATCGGAGAACGGCCTTCTTCAAGGCCGAGCGGATTTCGGGCGGGACAGCAGCGTTGCGTTAAAGTCGGGAAAGCGAATTAGGAGCCGGGCCCTCGTATATCCCGACCCGTGTTCATGAACTGTGACTTCTTGCCTGGACAGTACTCAGGCATAGACATTCCAGCCTTTGTTGCATTATCACAAGGCCATCGAGTGCCGTATACCTAAAAGCAAGGTAATGTCAAATGAACGTCCACATCCGGTTACGAAGACTGTCGGCCAAGTACAAATCAACTGGAAAAGATTGGATTAATCCCGCTTTGTGTATGCACGCGTCTTCATAAGCGTCTCAAATAGACGTACTGTTACTAGAGTAGATCGGAACGTTATATTTTGACTGTGTCTGGCACCCAGTGGAATAAGTGTAAAAAAGACTTCCGGTGAATTCATGTCTTTTCATGTCTATTTTAAATATCCACTGAACGGACGAGATTATATAGAGCCTGTACGTTCTTTACCAAATTACTAAGCCCATCAAATCTTGGATAGTGTCAATACACGCCGCAGTAAACGATCTTTTGTCTGTCGTAGTTTTCCCTTCGAATAAAAAGACCAAAAAACATCAGAAGCAGGGAAACCAGGGAAGTGAATTCTAGCATTGCGAATAAGAGTAAAATTTGATGAGATGGCAAGGTGGACATGTTGTAGTGTGGACATTCTACGTACTACTCCTTTAGCTGAGGTATAATCCAATGGACCGCGGACTATCTGAGAGATTTACTCACACGTGCTTCCATGAGATATTGCTCATCACTACCAATCTGTTTCTGATCCTTCTGTTCGAGCGATTACCCTAGCTAAAGTACAAACGAATGTTGCCCTCGAATTCACCTTGCGCCCAGTAGACACTCACCTGGCGTTCTCCCCAAGGCGCACTCTCCTCCCAACCCAATAAACCGTTCTCTAAGATGTCCACGAACAGTGGCTTTTCCCCTGGTATAAGCTTCACAAGGGATTTTACAGACTTCAGCGCTAGCCCAAGGCGATTCGAATTCTTCCGAGATCCCAACATCCAAACTAAATCTAGTCGCAAGGCGAGAGAGCGAGAGACCGCCCATTTTTTGGGTGAAAATCTCATCCAGACGGTTGCGGATGTTGTTGGTGACCCCAAATTTCGTACTACTGTCACTGGTCGTGAAGTTTTATTATACAGTGGACGCCAGTTCGGAGGATAGACTTCCACAAGTGAGTTCCAGGGTAGATAGATAGAAGCCATTTGAATAGTTGAGCATGGCTCCAACTGTGTCAACATATATCCCGGCTTCGGAAATGTTTTGGAATTGTTGGGATCTCGGGTAAGGTTGATGTAAAGACTGACGAGATCCTTGCTGAAAGCGGTCCTGCTGCTACCTTCCTCAATCATGAAAGGTATAGCTTCAGGGGGGCGGAAGATGAGGTTGCCTGAGTAGCAGAGAGGAATAGCTATACAGTGCTTCGTTGAAGCCAAATTCCTATCCGTGCAGTGTATCATGGCGTAGAAGAAAGGTCCCAAGACTGGATCTGTGTGTGAGATGCGTGCCTGGATATAAAGACCTTTGTTCGTTAAGTAATAGTGAGGGCTGTTGCTGATCTCACCAATTGTGACATCCCTGCATTTGAGAAAGTCGGCTGGAGACCTGGCAAACAGTCCGCCCGCAGATGTGAAGTCTTCTCCGTAGCCCCAAGAAAATATTGACTCATCGTCAGTCTTCTTGATGATTTCTTCCTGGAGCCTGAAGAAAGCATTTTCACCTTCTCCGTACAGCAACGGCATATTGACGTCGAACAGGCCCATGAGGGAGTAAGCTTTATCCTCTATCCGGGTAGTTTCTCTCTTCGCTGCCCAACTCATCTTCTCAGCAACGGAGAAATTCTGATGCACAGCTTCGAATTCCGTGGATAGTGCGATAACATTGATACTCGTTATGTCGTGAATCAGATCAACAAAATTGTAGGAATTCTTGACGTCGGTGTCCTCAGCACGTGTCGGAGGTAGTGGGCTGAATGGATTTATCGGGATATTCAAATGTTCAGGACCTTCTCCATCGAGCTTTTCGATCTGATTAACAAATTTCCAAGCGTGGTCGTAAAAGCACACCTTGGGGGCCCAACAATTCCTGCAGCGTCCAACCGCGAGTGAACCAGCGGCTTTGGGAGAATGATGCTTTGTTCCTGCGCCATCCGTAATGGTTTGAGACCTCGCAATCTTCAAGGAAAACGTAGCATGCTACTGCCCGCTTGTACCATTGAAACATAGAATTGATGGCCTCGGATAGCTCAGCACTGCTGCTTTTGTCTATGCAGCAAGTGTCTATCCAAACCCAGGAAAGCTCTTCGCCCCGAGCGACACGACAGAGGCCATCGATTTTCGTGATCCCACCGCAATATCCATCCGTCTGAAGATCTTTGAATGTGAACTCGTTGCGCCCCCAAGTGTGGGACAGGATGCCATATGGAGGTATATCTGTGCCGGAAAACTCTCGCAATTCAAGTGTAGTCGTATGTAATAGCCGCATGATTTGATTTCAATCACGTTGTTATCTAGTAAGCTGACTGAACGACATTGGGAAATCATGACGGGGCGGCTGTAGCCTGTTCGAATTGAGCAATAAACGAGGCGTTAGCAAGCCCTTTTGTCAAGCGAGAATCTGACGTCTCTCATCTCGAGTGCGGGGTAAGTTCAACAAGATGCCGCCTTTTCAGGCGCCGTGGTTCGCCAGAGACCACTGGATGAACTACATATGAGCGTATGTAACCAACAGATTTGCCAAGGCTCTCTGACCTGCTTACATGATGCATACCTCAGCCGAGGGTGCCTAGAAAGTGCAACAGGTATGGCCAATTGCCGGCCTTTCTCATTATCAGTATCATGAAGTCCATTGACGTGTGACATAGATATTCTAGTTTACTGCCTGTTTATATGAGTGATGTGGTCTTCGCATGCTTCATCCTTACACGGAGCACATGTCAGAACATTCTACCACCTCCCAAATCCCATTTTGGATCTTTAATCTGTCACACCTACCATCCGCAAAGTTGGGGATGAAAGCTTCACCGTCAACGCTGAGTAGCCGTATGAAGTTGAGCGACAAAACCGTCCCCCAATGACTGAAGATGGATTCAAAGCCGTTATCAAAGTTGAAGGGAAAGCACAAAACTATGGTGATAGTCATGTTATGTTCAATGGCAGACAATCTGTACAGAACCCATAGCCTATATATGTTATATGTTTGATCAATATGTACAGGTAAAAGTGAAGCCCCTCGTTGCGCAAACACTGTCCTGGGCTTATTCCTTACACGTTATTTTCGATTGACTGTCTGGCCCACTACTGAGCTAGCGAAAGACCCAAGAATACCTAGTTCCTAGTGTCACCTTTGATGCCATAGATATCCAGTAGGTTGAGGTTGGGCGAATGAATCTTATCGCTGCAGCGTGAGAACTGCCGGGCGGTACGGCAGCAGGCCGTAGTCGCCGCTGGAGCTAGGAGACCGTCCCTGGTAGAGGAGTTGAAGATTGCACGGGTCGATAGTCATAGTCTGGTCGGGATCGCTGCGAACCAAGTCGCCGTGGCTGATATCATTGGTCCAAGTAGCACCGCTGTTGGCCTTGCCAGCAAAGGGATTGCTTTCAGTTGCGGCCTGGGCCGTCCACGCTCCGCCGAGACTGGTGGCCGTGAAGGAGCGGAAGTAGCGGCCGTTGACGCCAATAGCCTCGACGATCATGAGGTACTGCTGTTTACCCTTGACGGCGTAGACTTGGACAGCCTCGAAGAGGTTGTTGGTCGTGTCGCTCATGACAACTGTCGAGGCGGTGCCAAAGTTGCCCGGGAAGTTTCCAATGGGCATGCTAGAGCGGTAGATCTTGCCATTGTCGCCCGCGAAGAATAGGTACATGTTCGTGCTGTCGCCAATGAGCGTCTGATCGATGGGGCCGGTGCTGGAGTCGGAGATGGTTCCGGAGAACATGGGCTGCGCCGCGGACCACCCGTTCGCAATGGAGGGATCGCTCGACGTCTTGTAAGAGAACTGAGTCGGACCCCATTGATAGGCGAGGACCCAGATGTTCTTGGGACGGAAGTAGAAGATGGTAGGCGCGACGGCGGACTGGGTCATTGCATTTTGAGACGCAGCACCCATTTGAGACCAATCGGAAAAGAGGCCAAAGTTCATGGAGCCCCAGGTTGAGCCTTGGTCATGAGTCGACGCGTATACGAGGTGCTGACCGTTGTAAGTGACGGTGGTGAAGTCCTTGAGCGAGGCCCATCCGGATTTGGGTGTGGCCAGCGCGCCAGTCGATGTCCAGCGATAGGTAGACGGCAGGTCGCACGTCTGGGCGATGACATCTGTCGCAGACGCGAGGAGCAGTAGAGTGGTCGAAACCACCCCCGCATTGGCTCTGAGCATCATCTTTGTGTTGCGGAGTTTATACAGTTGATGAAAAAAGCTTGAGTCTCTGTAACACGAACTCCTTGACTAGAAACAGTTGGCAGTCGTCCGATCTTTATATACATGAGAAATGTGTGTATTTTGACTTGACAGCGATTGGCTATCTAATTGTTAATTGCAATCCGGTCTCCTCTAGTTGTGGACCGGCAGTTGCTCGCCAATGCGAAAGAGTCCGAGAAAGTCGCACTGGGATACGAATCTAATCAATCTGGCATTCGTGGGTTAACAAAAGTGAAACTGGACTATGCTCTATGTGGACTGCCGTTTGTGCCGCATGGATTACCGATACCAATACTACTTCCCATATTGCCGAAAGTAATTTGAAGAGTATGATCCTGTGCTACAATCCCCCTCCTTTAGACCTAGACATCAACGGATTTTGCGGCTCCGGGGTCAAATTAAGATTGTTCACAAAGGTTTCTGAAAGTTTTGCATTCAGCCGGCGGGTCGTATGTGATGCGCACCAATTGCGGTTTCTCGGTTCTCGGTGCACTTCTTCTATCACTCGCGCAGGGTTCCATCGAAATGCGTTATGATCTTGGTTCCCCCAGACTTCTCCTCTTTTCGGACTGATCGTCATAGCGCCAAAATTTCCCCGACTTGGCGGTTGTGTAACCGCCAATTACCGATTGGTAGTATTGGTAGGCGCAATGGAAGTTGCTAGTCGTCATGGAACACTTCGTTCGCCTCGTGTGAGAACCATAAGTTACGATAAATGAGTCAAGGTTGATGAATTGACGGTTGAGTTAGTGTGATGTTCCAATGCTCCCATGATTACAAAGAGATATTTAATTACCCGAATGAATAGATCTTGGTATGAGGTGTTACTACATGAACTTCATCTAAACTACATCGGTTGAAGTTTGTTGCTAATGTTGATGGCTCTCCACCGGGTGACTTGAGTTCAGCGCGAGTCAGCGGGAGCTAGCTCAGGCCACATCCCAATTCTTACCGCACGCCTTGATCCAAAAGAAAGCGCAAGAGACTTAGAATAAATGCATGATTGAGCTGACCCTGATACTCGCAAGAACCCGAATGTGGCCCACTACTTGGGTGAAGCCCAAAAGGATTTTTGATTTGTGAGCCTGTATTCGGGCATATACGACTTCGATTCGAGTACATTATCTGCCTAGCATGCTAAAAACTTTCACTCCAAAGATATCTCCATAGGTCAGTGATCATTATCGTGAAATAACCCGTCCCTATACATGTCTTTGATCAGCCTTCCTTGACGCCTATTACGAGTATTGCCGTTGCTATCTTATGTCTGATCTATTCTGTCCTGTCTGAGGTCATAGCCAATCTGCAGGTGGCTAAAATATCATCCCACATATCTCCTCAATAACTTGTAACAGCCAGAAAATTCCAATACAACCTGGCGCTATCCCGTTTGACTCTGATTCCTCAGGGTCAATATGATGACCCTCCAATCACGCCATTCAGTCATCTTCCTTCCTCGGGATGTTGAACGGAGAGTCACGCCCAGTGTAGATGAATGCATCATACACGCAAGCACCCGCGATACCACCAACGATAGCAGCAGCCCAAGGGGCCCACAGCCAGTAGTAAGAGTCATGAGTGAAGACATCCGAGCCATAGCCAACGATAGCCAACGCAATACGTGGGCCAGTATCTCTGGCACCATTCATGGCGTACCCAGTGTTGATGCCCAAGGCGGAGCCGATGGCCAGCAAAGCCAAGAACATAGCAAAGGGTTGTGTGCCCTTTGGCGGCGATAGGTTGTTCTTATCAGCCAGAGCAAACACGATAGCCACCAGCGCGGCCGAGGCAAGGAACTCGGTGTAAAAGGCGCCGGCATAAGGAAGTCCAGACTTGGGGAAGGTGAAGAAGAGACCGGCAGTGGCATGTTCCCCGATCAAAGTGCGGGCAGCGCCGCCTTCGTACTCTGCAATGCTGGTGGAGTAGTTCAGATAGACGGCAAGACTGGCGAAGGTAGCACCCAAGACCTGCGCAGCCAAGAAGCCGGGCACTTTGCGCCAGGGGAAGCCGCGGAAAAGGGCGAGGACAACTGTCACGGTTGGGTTGCAGTGTCCACCTGATACACCACCGGACATCCAAACGGCCATAGCCACGCCGGCGGCCCAGGCCAGGCGGCACTGCAAAAAGTCACCAGCATTTTCGCGGATGTCGGCCGACTGGTAATTCAGACGCGTCTCGCATTCCACACCTGCTCCAAAGAGCAAGATCATGAAGGTACCCCAGAACTCACTGTGCATGTGTGCGGTCAGCATCGGATTGATTCTGAGAGCTCCATTGCCGTGAGGCATCCCGGTGGGGGAGGCTCCGGTGGGGAGCCATGTCCGCGATTGAAGTGATGTAAAGATGGATGCAGCCGAAATTCAGGTACTCACGCAAATTCCTCCCGCCAGTAATGACGGATTTGTGCCCATGTGTTTGGTGGCCTGTCACTGAGCGCCCATTGCGGCTTGTGTAGGCGCGTCTCCTGGTGGGCGGCGACTGGCGCGGCCGGCAGCACTGGCTCGACGTCTTCGTGATGTGGGTGAACCTCCTGTAGGGAGGCACGTCGCATGGATAGGGGCGACACGAGTCGCTGGCCATTGAACGATGGCAGTTGGAATGTGCCGGTGCGTCGTCGATGCCTCGAGAGGAGCGGCTGGCTTTCGCCTGGATCGTGAATCGATGACGCGGGAGACATATCCTCGTGAGTCTGTTTTATGGCAAGCTAGTTGGATCTGATGTCAAAATATATGGGCGGGTTTGTCACCTGAAAGAGGGGAAGTGTAGGGACAATATTTGTCTCTCAAGATGACGATGCCTTCATACGAGGTGTGTTGTTTTTGTTTGCCTCTCATCGATCCACAAAAACCGGACGGCAGCACGGTTGCTTCTGCATCCCGTATCAAGTTGATCTACATGTTGCATTGCGTACCCGCTCATTAGTCCGTATAGTTGCCGAGGCCAAGCTCCGATTTGGTGGTTCAAAGAGCTGCAATACAAGAACTCCGTATTTATCTGTGGATTTAGACACTATTATGGAGAATGCTGATAAGTTATCGCGCAAGCAAGACCAGTCGATGCGTGATTTTTCTGGGTCTCGAAACTTACGAATTTGAACTTTCCCTGTTTTTTTCCAAGGTTGTTGGACTACTTGGCGTGTTAGCTCACCGACATCTCTGATGTCAACAACATTGGAAGAAATTCGTGATCTCTGGAATACAACTGGGAGAATATCAAAGAGCTCCTCGTACCCTGCAGTTTTTGTCTTGTTTTTGTCTTGAGTCTCGCTCATTAGATGCGCGGATGTTGACAATCGTTCTATTTTACAGGTGTTACAATTGTACGCTAAGTTGGCTCTTTCCAATGCCACTCAGAAATGCGACAAGAGAGAGAGCTTGTGAAACCAGCCTGCAAGCAAATCGGTCTATCAGCATGCTATGATTCTTCCATCACTTCTGTCTGAAGCGCACACTTTGCGCTTGTGGCCGTTTGACTGTTCCCTTCGATGGGTTGGCTGGCACAAATTCCTGGATGTTTGATGCTGACTCGTTGAGTTTAGCCTGTGCCATTCCGAGCTGTTTATTCTCAAGATCAAAGACCGTGTACACAGCCGAAAGCATAGGCGCACCAAAAGATGCTACGTTACTGTCAATGGGTTCTAACGGAAGTGTGCACAGGGAACTGCCACTCTTGTCGGTGACGGGTGCTCCGTTCTTCATGAGGGGGATGAAGATCATCGACAGAGGGACCTCGACCTTGGCTGTCTGGAACTCGAAGTTGAACTTGGCACCCGAATCGCCGCTGCTGCACTTCAATGCCTTCGTTCCATCCTGTAGTGTTTGGATATTGATAGCCGGTCCGATTAGATCCAATATCTTTGGTGGGAAGGATAAGGATGGGTTGCCAGTATCAACGAGGACGGGTGGGAAGCTGTTTCCCCCAATTGCAGTTGGTTTGGCATTCTTGTCTGCCGAGAAGGAGAAGGAAGTCCAAGGCACGATGAAGTCATTCGATTTGAATAGCTTCTGTCCAACGAGAGGGATCATCTGCATTTGTCCTGTGAACTTGGCAGTGTCCATCCCGCCAAACACGACGCTTCCAGTGGGCGACCCTAAGCGATGTCAGCAAATTTCAAGCGTACTTGAAGAACCCAAATATGGAAACTAACTGAAATCATTCAAGTATACACTGTAAGCCAGCGACTTGGTGAGCCCTTGGACTTTGAGATTTTCTGGAAAGTTCGTGTACGGCTTAGCATTATTGGCGAGAACGGACGCCTCTGAGCTCGAGGGGCCGACGCCCAGGATGGCAATCAGGGGTGATGTCAGCTTGCCAGTCTGACCCAATCCCATAGTGTTATTTGAGATCGATGTGTTGCCGACCGTGACTGATTCTGACATGAAGGTTCCTTGGATTTCAACACCATTCGCGTACGTAGCCTCAAACGGAGAGCGATTGGCATTAAAGGTAGTTGATTTGGCGTTGTCAAATGCACCTGAGACGCTAGAGTTCCTGCCGTTGCTGGCGGTGCATGTTGCCAAGCGGTCTTTGCATAGGCGGCTGTTGAGCTGAGGAACCCAGAGATCACTGCTTCCTGTGTCGAAGATCGCCAAAACTTGTTGCGGTGGAGATCCAACCGAGATTTGCATCGATGCAACGAAGTTGCTGTTAGGGGCGGCCATGCGGGTGAAGGGGATCTCAACAGTCTTTAGACATTGAATAGACTGGATTAGGCATATGCTCGTGACCAGCAACGGCTTCATTGCAACCGTGAAAGACGACCACATCGTGCTCTGTGGTTGCGGACACGAAGTACACGCGAATTAAAGGATAAGTATTCAAGTGAAGAGTTGCGCGGCAACTGATTAGTTCGTGTTGAATGTTGTGCTTATTCAATCATATCGGCGGGGAGTTTGATCATATTATAAATGCGTGCGAGATTCCCATTATGTCGAGTTTCTATCTCTTGGATTCTCTCCATCCGTCAATGGTCCTATGACTCTCTTTCCGGTCAAGTTTCGGGTTTACCTACCTAGGGGTAAAGTCATGAATCGTCGTGACACACTGGTCTGTTTTGTATGAGCGAGAATTTTCCGCGGCTTCAGGATAAATCTTTCGTGACGGCCCAGCTCGCGTTCCGCTCACTGGCTCAAGCGCCGAGCTTGGGCGCCATTCACCGACATTCAACTTGGGAAGATAAGTGCGTAGCAATAGGTAACCCCATCGACCTTTCGATTTTTACCTAACTTGACTTCCTTCGGACGAATTAGAGTTTTATTCGAGCTGGTTCTTGAGTTAGACAGTGTTTCCTGCTATTCCACAAGATCACTGTTTGCCCTGGTCTTACTTCAGGCAGATGGCTGATTTCCCATGAAAGTGGATAAATCAAGACGCTTAGTGCAGATCTGAGTTGGCACTTGGGAGTTTGTCCGGCGAATGGCCACTTGAGTTGTGTTGCCAGTGCCGCAGGTGAGGTTACTTCTGGCTCCTGGATTCCACTACACAGTAGTGAAAGTGAGCACAAAGGCTAAGTAGGTCAACAACTGTAGTTGACTCCTGATGTAAGCATATGTGCATCTTTCTCTCTCCAACGATATCTGAAGTCATGAACGCATCGGATTCAGTCATATTGCGCACCCCTGGTTTCTTGATCGCACCTATGACGGTTTCTATCGAGTTATCTCATTTTTCGTGCCAGAACCATAAAGACGAAGCCCTATGTGGCCGCTGCATCGGCTCATTGGGAGGCTCTTGCTGATTTAATTCTACCTCCACTAACGGTTGTTCCTTTTCATTTTCTTCTACAGTCTCTGCCCCCACTTGCGGTTGTTCTCTTTGAGTTTCCCTTAACGTCTCGTCGTTCGGTTCGCCAGGGAATGGGGGGAAACGAAACATACTTTTGTGCGGAATTGTTATCTGAATCCTGTTGTGGTATTGTTTCTTGGCTTCTCCTTCGGCACCATACTCATAGCTTGTAATTGCAGCGCACTTTCGACGGTCTTTGGCGCTTCTGATTCAGCTGAACCTTTCTCATACCCGGAGTCATCCATGGTCTCGGTTTTTCTTGTGGCAAAACTTCCGACGACAGAAAATGCAGCTTAAAACGACAGGCATAGAGTGAATACTTGATGTAGCTCTTCTTAGCCTAATGCCATGATGTTCTGAGAACCTTTCTTCTTTATGACGACCACTGCTATAATTTTCCTCCCGATGTTGAAAATACTAGACACAACTGTCTATCTTCGCTGGTGAAGGCAAGGCTGGGTTCTAACAATGATCTTTCGCTTCCTCATCCAACTTGAAATGTACTTCATGAAGGCAAATTGTGCTTTTACGGTTCTCACCAGACTCAACAGGAATTGTGGAGACTGATTGGGATTCAATCCCTCGGAACTAGTCCAACATTTTGTCGCTCAGAATGTGAGCAATTTGTCTACCATAATGCCGGGAATACAGTGAAACAGCGATAATTGGATCACCCTCTCTTGTCCGAGCCGAACGAACAGAGAATCTGGAAAGTATCAGCAGGGTGCTGCACAGCCTCTGGAGCAGCCCCCAAATCGTCAAGGGTCTGCGTTACAGGGATGATAATCTCGCTATGCGTATTGCCGCGGGCGATTTTGGCCCACTGTCGGCCACGATCTCCGGCGGAATAAGGCTTGTTGCACCTTAAGTTAATTAAGCTGTTGCCTGTGTTTTTGGTCCGTGGGAAACCCCGGGGGTCATCTTTGCTAGCTCGCCGCCGTCGTTCTGTTACACAGACTTTACCCCAAGATTTTCAAATCTTTTGGAAGTGAACAGCGCGGTCGGTCAGAGCCAAGCTATAGCATACCATTCAGTCCAGCACATCATCACGTTCTATGTCGTCTTCCAGGAGCCTGATACCTAAGACAGGCCATTCAGAGACCGTGATATTTATTGTTAGGCCTTTCTGAAAAATGTGCCAACGCCACGCCACAACAGGCTATGAAAGGGACGAGGGTTTGGAAGCCCGTCAGCATGCCAAGGGCGCTAACGATCCTTCGCGAGCGATTTTGCCCAATGCCAGGGCATTTTGGCTCATCGCTTCTGACTTAGCGTCATGGGTCTGCAGGCTTCCAGCATGATTTGGGTTTGATGTTAATTTCGGCAGCATCAGCCTCAACCGAAGCCAACATTGCGGCTGCTCCCTTTCCCAGTTTCATGGAGCCTTTCCTTCGAACATGGCGGGGAGTTTGATGGCTGAGACTTGACTTTCTCCTCATCGTTCCTCACTTTTTCGTTAGTTTTGGCGTTTTCGTCGCGTCGTTCGTTTCGCGGCTGTTTTATTCACTCTTTCATTTCACGAAACGATGATGCTCAAGCCGTCGGTGAAGGGAGCTTTTCTGGGATGTGTGATGCAGCTGCCCAACCTGGCGAATGCGCTGTCGAAACGCGCCTGGGAACTGTCAGATGTACCCTCACCCGAGATCTTCCTCCGTCGAGCAGAAGCAAGAGGTAGTAGATATCAACATTTGAACAATCGAACTCAACTGATTTAAGCCATTTAGTCGTTGTTCTTGGCGACTACGCCTACATCGATGGCGGCGAGATCTCTCAGCTCGACGCGCGAGGTAATCCGATAACGTCGCGAGGCTCCAACGCAGGTCAGTTACTTCAACGACGAAGCGATCAATCCCGACACCTTCTCACGCGGTGTGAATCCTAGTCAACTCCACATTATCGATCGATTTGACGACGTCATGGTCCGCAACCAGCGTCAGGATCAGGGAGATTCCGAAGACGCCGAAGACTATGGACCAACAGGCGATGTGGAAAAACGACGCGAAGAGTACATTCTGGATTTGGGGCGGACATAGCCCATTCGGTGCTCCATTAGACGAGCCCACGTCCTGGAAGTTTGAAGCAGACGGCAAAGGAGGTGGGACATGGTCAAAAGAGACGCCAGCGAACCCAACACTTTTCCAAGAATTGCGACGAAATGAGGGGGGCGCATTCGCTAGTACCCCCGACGCCGGGTTCTGGTTTGGGGGACAATCGTCAGGCTGGACGACATCTAACCCTTACTCGCAGCCACTCCCGGGCATCTTGTCCTACAACATGACCACGAGGTCTTGGGCAAATGAAACAAATGATGCCTTCTCCAAGTATGGCACTTTGACGGGAGGCTCAGCCGTCTACATCCCGACTTTTGGTTCGAATGGTCTCATCACCATAATGGGCGGCGCAACATGGGGTCTCGAACCTGATCAGGCGAAGCCTCTCGGATGGCAGGACTTCAGCAACTTGACCTTCATGGATCCAGTAACTAGAGATTGGTACTGGCAAAAGACAACCGGAAATGCGCCCACTCCCCGCAGCAATTTCTGCAGCGTTGGAGTCGAAGGCAACAACGGAACCTACGAAATGTGAGCATTTCCATTGATCTCATACGACTTTTCGTTGATACTAATGAAGTTTTAGCTTTGTGTTCGGCGGTACCAATAGTGAGACAGGTTCAACTTATGATGATGTCTTCGTTTTAAGCCTTCCGGGGTTCTTCTGGAACCAAGTCGCTTACGAGTCGAAAAATCCAAGGAGGAATCATTGCTGCGCATTAGTTGGCCGCCGTCAAATGCTGTCAGTTGGAGGAGCGGATGGCAAAACGGGATATACAAGTGCCGACCCCTGGCCGCAAGGACTCGGTCTCTTCGACATGACAGACTGGAAGTGGAAGACGGACTACGACGCAGACGCCAAGAACTACGAAAGTGCGAAGACAGTCAGTGACTGGTATAAGCAAACGTAAGTGAAATGAACCTGGCACTTGAAAGCTGACAGCATGAGCCAAAGTGCTAACATCAATCTAGTGGTATCAGTTCCGTCCAGTGGTCATCCAATGAAGTTCAGGCACTTTTCAGGAAGTCAAATACAAACACGACTGGAGAAACCAATCATGATCCAGCAGAGAACAAAGATACCAAGGGATCTACCCCACTAGCCGCCATTGTTGGAGCTGTAGTTGGAGCCGTCGTCGGTGCCATCATCGGGCTTGCTCTATTCTGCTTCGTCAAACGCCGGAAGCAGAAGCAAGCCGCCGAAGCAGCGACTGCACTTGCTCCATATCCTGACCATGCAAAGGGGGATGGAGCATACCAGGCTTACTATCACCCTGTGGCTCCAGGGGAGTTGCAGTCGGATGTACCACAGACTGAATTGTATGGTGGATCAATACCTAAGCATGAGATGTGGGCAGAAGTACCAAAGCATGAGATGAGTGCCTCTGGAATTTATCACTACACCGTTACTGAACTCGACTCCCACAACACTCTACTGGGACAAGGGGATAGAGATCACTCCAAATTTAGACATGATCTGCAATAGGACACGCAATTTCAATAAACACGAATTTTCAAACACCCGCTACAGTTTAGATGTCAGAAGAACGCAAGTAATCTCGGCGTAGCATCAATGTTGCCTTCAGTGCATTCGTGATCCAATCAAACAGGTTCACAACACTGTTCGGCTGCAGCATTCGGTAACAATGCTCAATTAGTCTCCGCTCGCCAGCATATCTGACCCAAAATGGTATTTTTATGACCTGGGAGAAGTGACGACTCGGCCCGGGTGTCTCCCACCGGCTTCGTACGCCCATTCGAGCGGCAGATGATCGCCACATCACTCAGACTGCAATGTCGCACAAACTCCGCTTAGGAACATCATCCGAACGCATCTGGCGTAAATCTAATGGAACATTGAGATAAGGTACCAAACGGGAATCCTTCCGCAGTGGAGCTAACGCGCACTTCAGTCCACAAGCTCTTGCCCTTTTGGCTTAATCTGTAACATTGAAGTGCACGATGCCGGTCTATCTCACGTCAGCGATGTTGAGTTTCTTGGCTGTGTAGCACAGCACAGCGAGAAGAGCGCAACCAATCCTGAATTTCGTTGAAATGGTTTATCAGAACGATTTTTATATCATTTCTGCAAGTGGTGCACCTACAATCAGTGCCAACACCCCACGACGTCTTGGCGTGCTTCTGAGCTTTTCCAGGGAGAAAGGCAGGTGGGTAACCTAAAGTAAGAGAAGAAGGCCGAAGGATTTCCATTTACTCCTGGGGACTGCCTTATATAAAGCTTAGGCTACCTCGAACGTAGCTCCAGCACTTTTCCCCCATGGCCTGATTAAGCTTCATCATACGGTACCGTATATTCAGCAGTCGGAGATCACCCTTCAAGATGTCATCAACCAAGAAAAAGATCTTGTTCCTCTGTAACAAAGATTATGGTCAGGCTAATGTCATTCTTTCAGCTACCTACGCCTTGATAAAGATCAACCCCGATGTCGAAGTACACATTGGCTCACAAGCAGGCTTTGATTCTCAGCTCCGCCGCTTCGTCGACCAATGCAACAAGATAGAAGGAGCCCCGGCTGGGAACGCCGTCAAGCTACATCCAATCATCGGCCTCTCCCACTTCGAGGCTGTGGATAGACCTGACAATCCGGCGCTGGCTACTTGGCTTACAAAGCCAGGGCTCGTCAATACGTCCCGCAACATGCTCACACTTGCTGGCCTCGCACTTCCGTGGAGCCCAGAGGAATTCTTCGAGACTTATAGAGCTATCGAGGAAGTCTTCGAGGAAGTGAAGCCGGATGTGACTGTGGTGGAGGCGTTCTTCGCGCCAGCTACAACATTTGCCAACCAAGCAAACATCAACTGGATTTGTCTGGCTCCAAATACTATCAAAGAATTTGCGCTGCCAATGCAACCCAAGCTCGCAATGCTGTGGAAGTATCCCATGTGAGTGCAGGTAAAGTAGAGTCGAAGCTATAATTCCTAACTAACATCAGCCAAGTATACAATCAAGCCTACCATTTCCGATCCCACTCCATCTAGTCCCCCTCAACGTTTTCTTCAACCTCGTCGCCGGATACGGACTCTTTGCGGATTCGAGATATAAGCGTGTCTCGGCACATCTCGCCAAACATGCTGGACCCGGCATCGAGATCATCACCTGGAACGAGCTTGGCCTTCTGAAAGCACCACCCAAGGGCCTTCGAATCCTTGTCGCCAATAGTCCCGACATCGATTTCCCCTTTGAGACCATCCCCGAGTCCATCACTCCATGTGGTCCTATCACCCGCGCTGCCCCCAAGATTGAAATCGAAGATCCTGAACTTGCTGAGTGGCTGAGTCGAGGGCCAACAGTCTTCATCAGTCTCGGCACGCACCATTTCTATGATCTTCCGAAGGCGACTGAATTTGCGCATGCGATTCTAAATCTTCTTGATCGAGCAGAAGAACACAAGGGTGGTTCTGATGATGAAGCTAGACTCCAAGTCCTTTGGAAGATGCCGCGCAAGTTGGACGAGAATGAGAACGCAACCGAAGACTCTGGGCCATGGCTCGATGTCAAGGCAATTATGAATCCCTTCATCAAACAGGATAGAGTCAAGATCACGGACTGGTTTACTGCCGAACCAAAGTCTATCCTAGAGTCTGGTCATCTCGTGTGCTGTGTCAGTCATGGCGGCTCCAACTCATTCCATGAGGCTTTGTGGTAAGCACCTTCTCAATCAACTCAAGAGCTCTCGCTGACTTCCAACCTAGTACTGGTATACCACAAGTTGTTCTGCCAGGTTGGGGAGACTGCTATGACTTCGCTATTCGGTCAGAGATCTTGGGCATTGGGAAGTGGGCCAACAGGAAGGCCAAGCCTTACTGGGAGAGAGAAGAACTTTCCGAAAAGCTGATTGAAGTCGTGCTTGGCCCCCAGGCGCAAGCGATGCAGGAACAAGCTCTAGCACTAGCCAAGCGGCATCCGGAAGGCGCTGGTCGAGAGAAGGCTGCAAGAGAGATTCTGGATCTGCTGGAGAAAATTGAGGAGAAGGTCTGATGGTTTGGTTCCTTCGAGATCACAGTCTTGTTATTAATGTCGATTGGATGCGCAAGAAGTGCAAGATTACATCAAATCCACCTTTTTGAGTTTCAAAGCCAAAGCCTCAACCCAGTGTACTTTCCAACGATGTCCAATGGTCACTCATCCTCCACAGTAGCCGCGAACCTTCTATCTCCCTTCCACCACGGACGCTCTTCTGTTTGTGGCGACTCAGCACTTTTCGCTTCCTCGAAAGGGAAAGAGGTATCAGTCGATGTGAATGATTTCTCTTTGCCTTCTCCATTCAAGTCCTTTGACTTCAACCTTTCGGAATCCAGGTATTGTGTATCTGCTCCAGTCGCCCTCAGGCAATCCACGATCACGCCATGTCCAGCCTGAAGCGCAAGATGCTGCGCAGTGTACCCTTGTCGATCCTGCGCGTCAACGTCTGCCCCATTCCTGATGAGCATCTCTACCATGAGAATACTTCCTGTCCATGCTGCATGGTGTAAAGCCGTCCATTGCTTGTTGGTGTTGAGGATCTGTAAGTTTGCACCTTTCTTGACTAGCAACTCGGCAACACTAAGATGGTCTTGGAGGATTGAGAGATAAAGTGGTGTCTGACCCTGGCGGGTCTGAGCATCTATATGCGCATCGTGGCGTAGGAGCATTTCGACAATCGCGAGGGACCCCTCTGAGGCCGCGTCATGCAAAGGCGTACGCCATGACAAGTCCTTGGAGTTGACGAGATGCTCCGCTTTCTGGATCAGAATCTGACAGCATCCAAGATGAAGCCCAGTTACGGCATTGTATAATGCGTTGTGGTCATTTGTGTCAACTTGAGTTGGATTCGCTCCGTTTTCGAGTAGCAGCCAGACGGTTGAGGCGGTTCCTCTGGCTGCTGCTAGATGCAGAGGTGTCATTCCGTGTTTGTTCCTGGCGTCGATCTCGGCCTTGTTCTGTAAGAGTATCCAGACTATATTCAGAGAGCTTCTGTCTTGATCGCCGCTGGTATTGTGTGCAGCTAGATGAAGAGGTCGGTTTCCCTTCTTGTCCGGCTTATTGACATCTGCACCACCCTTGATCAGCTGCCATACGGTCATCTCTCGCTTGTACTTCACGGCCCAGCTCAAAGCAGTCAATCCCTCGGAATCCGGATTATTCAAACTGACACCTCTTTTAGCTAAGCGGCTGATGATGTAGTCTTGGCCCTCTTGTGCTGCCCATCTCATCAGCGTCCACTCCTCTGAGCCCGGTGACTCAATTGATGAGCCTCTGTCAATGAGAGTCTTAACGATCGACTTGTACCCCTCTCGTGCTGCCCAGCGTAACGCTGTGTATCCATCCTTGTCAGACGCGCTGATCTTTGCTCCGGCCTCCAGCAGGATACTAACAGTCCTCTGGTATCCATAACGGGCAGCCCATCGCAAACAAGTGTATCCCTCGGAGTCTTGGAGCTCAAGGTCTGCCCTTTTCTCTATTAGAATGTTGATAAAGTGTCTGTGGTCCATGGCCGTCGCCATGTGTAGGACCGTCTTGCCATTGGTGTTTTGGATGTTGAGATCCGCCCCTGCATTGATCAGAAACAACGCGAAATCTTGTTGGTTATGGGCTACTGCCCAGTGTAATGGGGTATCTCCGCTCTTTGTTCTGGCATTAAAGTCAACATTGCTGGCCTTGGACATCGCTCTCCTGACCAGACTCTCAAGCCCAAAGTAAGCTGAGACATGCCCTCCAGAAACTTTTGTCTGGTGCGAGACCCTTGGGTCTGTCATCGTTCTCAGTGCATTGCCTAGCTTAACTTCGTCTGATGCAAAGTCCCAGGCCAACTTGTAATTACTTCCTTTTACTTTGGGCACCTCGGAGAAGTGGTGTCCCCAGTAAGCCGCTGCGTAACGGAAGAGAGGATACATCTTGCAGTGCTTATTGAGCTCTTCCCCAGAGTAGCAAGATTTCTGACTTGAGGCGTGGAAAAGACAGTTTAAACAGGTTTCCAGAAAGGTAGCCTGCTCATCTCTGATTATCTCTTGAGCCAAGAGGAATTCCGCCGCAGTGGCATGAGCCAATCGAACAGTCCTTTCAGATGCAGAGCCACCGGGGACAACGACGATGAGGCCGATGCAGGCTGATAAAAGAACTTCTTCCGTGCACATGTTGGATGATGTAGGCAGGAGATTCTTTCTCGGCTCATTGTCGGTGAACGAAGATGGTGGGGCACTACGAATCGCGACAGCGTGTAGAAGCTCATCGACAGTGAGAGCTCTCTTAGCGTAAACGACCCAGGACAAGGCATGAATAGCCAAAATCCGTTTCGAAACAGAGTTCGTCTTTATGCGGTCCATTGCCTGATGATAGACTTCTTGCGGGCTTGCTGAGAGGTGTGACAATTTGTTGATGAGCTCAACGAGACTCAGAGTTGAAGCCAAGGATTCGATATGAAGATGTGCAAGAAGAAACCTATGTCAAATGTGAGTAATGCTCAGTACCTTCTATTCTTGAATGACTTCAGTGACTTACATTCCTTGAGACTTTTTCATAATTGCTGTAATGATCTTGTCTTTGAAGCACGGATCCGCTATGCGGCCGTTCTCTACGACCTTTTGGAAATCATAGTGGTTTTCGATGAACTTTTCGAAGTAAGCTTTGACATCAGCTTCATCTGCCTTGACTTCACATTTATGATCTGGGCTTATCATTCGATGGAAATGGGATCCCGGCCTCGACGTGAAGACCATCCTGAAGTTCTTCGGCAAGTCCTGGCATCTCCTTAGGAAGATCGCAAGAGTGTTTTCAACGGGGCTGTCGAGACATTCGTCAAGAGCATCTACCACGAAATAAATAGTGGAAAACAATTCCGCTTGCGATGCAATCATTTTGAAGTAGTCCTCCTCAGTTGGGACTTGTCGAGTCCTTTTCCAGGTATTAACGACGCGCTGAGTTTCGGGGGAAAGAACCTCCTGATTTTGTAAGAGTTGCAATAGTACTGTGGATAGAATGTCGGTAATCCCGTGTTCGGAGTGCTTTGTGTAGTCAAAGTAAAAGTAGACACAGACTTCCTTGGTGCGATGTCCTATCACTCGATTGGAGATATGATCGATGATGATAGATCTGCGAAGCTTTGATCAGTACAGGCTCTTGAGATCGAAGAAGGACTGTGTCACGATCAAAATTCTGATGCTTACGCAAGAACTGTTTTCCCAGATCCAGCTAAAAGCGCCCTTTCGTTAGGTCATCAATTTCATTTTGCAACGAAGACATCATCTTACGGATTCCATAGCACCAAAATTTCCGAATCTCTCCAGCACACCATTTTTCAAATGCCGGCAGTTGAGTGATTGCATGTCCTGCACCGGGAGTCTTGAGAGCGATTTGGAATGTTTCGGTTTGCATCTTTGCAACATCCAGCGGCCGTGACACTAGCCTCAGCCAGTCCGCGATATGTAGTTCTGGACGGTCCGCTTTCTTTGGTGAGAACAGGAGACACAATCAATTCGGACAGATGGAAACGAACCAGTAGCGCCAGAAGTTTGATAGTAATGGTTTGCTACACAGAATTGACTGGTCGTCAGCTTTTCTAAACTTGAAGACTTTCAGTCAGAATCGCTGTCCCTTGATCTCCTACCAAAGTACATGTTGTGGCCTGAATGATATTTATCCCCCATCGCAATGTCCGCATTGCTGCCTGTCGAAACCAAACCTTTCGCTTTGCCGTAATTGTTCATCGAGATATTATTAGACGCGGCATCAAAGTCCGAGTCTGGGAGGGATGGGTCCACTTCTGACAGAGAGCGGATTGCATCCTCTAGGCCGCCAACTTGCTTTTGCAACTCCGTACTTGCCTTGAATATCTGACGAATAGCAAGTACCTTGAGCTTTTTGAGTATGTCTTGCATCAGGCTTTCGACTTTGTGAGCCTTGCCCAATGGTACGACTTTGTTATGATAGAACTTGACAAGAGCGGACCACTCTTTGACCTCCTTTTCCTGGTTCTTGCCGCCCTCAATGTCTTTGAAGATGTCGCGTAAAGTGGAAGCCCGCTTTTGACAATCGCCCAGTGCGGGTATAAGTTCCTTCTCAGCCGCGGCGTCTGGTTTCTCGGCTTTCAGGGCTTCATGAGCGAGTTGCAGTGTGTTCTCGACGAGTGGGAGGCTTTTCCCCACCTCCTTGAAGGCTGCGGGTAAACCCTTGATGTGTCTGATAGCATCGAACGTAGCCAACAACGACTGGATGACGGTAAGAGTGCTTGCTGTGATGCTCAGAGGATCCATGTTGGAAAGCTCTGAGCCCAAGGTAGGTATCCGAAATAGCCGCCGTTGGAGCGTTTCTGGAAATAGATGCGCAGGCTCAAGCACTGTGCTATGACTGACATCAAGGAATAGCCGCGGTTGATCAAGACGGCTAAGTTGCAAACTTCAAGATATGTTCCAACCAAACAACTCAGGGACAGAGAAGAGGCCCGGATTCAGCAGCTTCTCTATGTTTAAGCATTTGGACCATGCTCTCGGCCGAAGAGTCAACGAATCATAAAGGAGATTTCGCGCCCACATCATTGCGCCAATCCGACTTGCAGGGGACTCGAAGAACAGAAGCATGTCACGGGGGCTGAGCTTCACACCATGATCTTGGTGGCAATGGGCTATCCTACTGGCTCAAATCCCCACGTCGCTTATCCCAAAACACGTCAATACTGCCACCATCATTGAGCGGCCGGCTGCAAAGTCTTACCGCATGCATATATATTGCATGCCAGCCTGCTTGAAGTGTTCGTTAGTGTGCAACGTTCTACAAGCGTTTCGCTCTGTTGGTTTGAATGAATAGTTGGAAATGCTGTTAGAAGAGGTGCGGCCTCAATTCAGGGTCCAGCTTTTGAGTCGCAAGATTATTTACCAGCTTCCAACGCTGCGTTCTGGATTTCAGCGTTTAACACAACCTCGTCAGTCCCTCTCCGTAAATTGGTGTTAGAGATCAATTGCCTTAACCCAAGTATAACCAAGTACTCTGCCTCTTGACGTGGTTTCCTACACCTCGCAGTACATTAGCGCCAATCTAGCGCCATTGGCCGCATATGTAAGCTGCGACAAGCCGGTTGACTTCAAGGCAGAATTCAAGGCGTCCATGAGGCAGCTGCATTTCTAGCATAGCCTGCTTCAAAGTCATGTCCGGTCCCTGTGTCCAAGGATGAAACGGGGCAAGTGACGGCCGGAGCGGCGACCTGTCTAATCGGAGCAGCTGGATAAACGGCGAACGGGTGGTCTTCTTTTCATCGCCGCACGACACATGACTGCCAACACGAACCAACAACCACCCTCAGAGCCAATGACAGGAACGATCGATGGCGGCCTTCAGAAGCCGACCGGCAAGAAAATGTTTCGAAGAGAGCCGAGCCTATCCCGCGCGTTTTCCTTCGGAGCGGCGTGGCTCGGAATGGGATGACGAATATAATAAAGCAGCAGCCACACTACGCACCCCGACTCTAGCAAATTGGGACCGTGTCGCATTATCCACACCTGGCAGTTGACAGTATGCTTTGAAAGTCAATAATTCTTCGCTCCATCAAACACCCATTCACCTTACATTCAACACCATGGTTTCAGCGCTCCCCTATACTTCACAAAGAGAACCAATCCAACAGGAAGATATTCCAGAAGACATTGACTGGAGCGAATCGGAATCCGACGTAACACGAAGATCCTACAGACAACACCAGCGTCACACAGAACCAGTCGACAACTTCGAAGATTTTGCCTCACAATTTGCATGGGACGGAACATACGCCGATCCAGATAGCTTGAGCCCTCATCACGAAGCAAGATTTGCTACCGGCCAGACAGTCCCGTATAGGCGCGGTCATCTAGAAGGTTTCGCAGACCCTTCACGGCACAGAGGTCCCCCGAACCGAAAACCCCCGCCTCCCGGTCCCAACGATCCTCAAGGATTCAGTCAACAGCCTGAAGGCCCAGCAATGAACTACTACGGAGTTCCTCCTCCTCCTCCACCTCCCCATCCTGGCGTATATCCAATGCATGCGCCTCCAATGCCGCATTATACTCCAGCACCTCATACTGCTGGTTGGAAAAATTCGATGGGCGGGCCCCGGCCTATGGGACCACCACCATCTACATATCCTCCACCGATCGAGCCTTACAGTTCTTACTATGTACCGCATCAAGGACCAGTCCACCCTCATCCGTACGCTGCCACACCTCGCAGTCATGCTTATTATACCGGCCCTCGCCCACAGACTACTTTCCCCCGTCAACGCAAGGATCATTACCCACAGTATCCCGCACCGCAACAGCCAGTCGAGGGATATTATGAGGAAGCAAGCGCGCCCAGATCGAAGAAGCAGCCTAAGCCAAGACAGGAGAAACCACACAAACGAACAAGTCGAGATGATGACATAGAAGAGATGAAGAGAGGAATGGAAGATCTGGCGTTCAGGCAACAGCAAGTGCATGATGGTTGGAAAGCTCAAGAAAGACGCGAAAGGAAAAAGGCATCGGATGCAGCCTTGATCAGACAGGTGAAAAAGACTGTACGGAAGGAGCTGGAAAACAATGCCAGTGCTCTGAGAGACATTGACGTGCGCTCAGAATTGAGCAGGCGACTCCTCCGCTCCGACATTGGCTCTAGGGGTTTTTCTACGCCTGCTCCGTCAGTCTATGATGAACCGGATGCTGGCCCCATTATACAAGCTACTGCCAAGGAAATCTTGAAGGCAGTACGTGGACAGTCGCTGTCAGATCTTGGAGGCTTTCAAGCTCCTCACAGACCATCTCATCGACGAGCTGCATCAGAAGTTCCTTACTCTGGCGGCAGCCATCCACCACTACCAAGAGACAGTGATGCTACCGCAACTAGCAACCCCTTCATGCCGAACCAAACGATCTATGGTCAACCCCCCTACCAGGGACCCGATCCACAACAAAGACAAGCCCAGAAATCCGAAGCCTATTGGACCGGAACAGTGAGGAAGTCTCGAACGAGGAGTGGAAGCCACTCTGGGCCGCGATTTCAAGGAGATACGAATACGCCACTTCACGGTAGCCTGTCTCCCGGTGACAGCGGCTATGCTTCACCGGAACCGCTGAGATCGGAAAGACCATTCGATCAATCAAGGGCACGAAGGGTTTCATTCCGAGATAGCGACGGAGCATCTCGCCCCAGACGTGAGGACATTCGAGGTGAAGAAGTGGTTGACTGGTCGGAAGATGAGGTCGAGGTGCCAGGACACCCCCAAAGACGAACGAGAACATACAGAACTGGGGCGCCTGGGCAGCCAAACTTCACAATCGAAGTAAGGGGTCCACCGCCAACAGCGCCAGAGGTTGGCCACTTCTAAGAAGCTAAGAAGGGGAGGGCTGTAATTACTTTCTTTGGGGGGAAGAGGGGGAGCGTTTGAAAGCTATCAGCAGGAGGTAGTACGGGATGTAAAAGCGTGCATTATGTCTGTACTATACCCCTAATCACGTAGCATGTTTTTGTCGTTTTTGCAGTATTGAAATACTTTGTCGACGTAAATTGAATGACGATTATCATAGCTTGAACATCACCGGTGAACCCCTTTGGTCTCCCATGCGTTACGCGAAAGTACTTGAAGGAAAAAATAAACTCAAACCCAGTACTCTATATCTGAGTGAGATGGACAGGACGGAAGACTTCCATTTCGATTGCATCTAATTATTATTGAGCAAGCCTAATTTTGCTATTTAATTTCCTTGAAAACCGGCCCGGTGCCCTGTCTAAACTGTCCAGTATGTGCTTTTTGTATTGTTAAACACTAATGCTTCAATATTATATATCAGTATCATTCCTTGATGGATCGCACAAGGCTTGAGGTTAGCGGTTCACGGAGCCATATTGTAGAAGCCGTGCTTCAAGAGTACTATCACATGCTTCCGGTCGAAGAAACCATATGTCATCAATATGAAGCCATCTAGGGCTAGAAGTAACAGGCTGTGTGTATGGACATATGATAGAGATAGAGGCACTGCACGAGAAGTGGTGATGGTGTGATGCTAGACTTTTGTTGGCAGACTAGCCTATGTAAACCTTGTATGTGCCATACAACAAAGCAAACCCCATTTGAATAACTCACCAGCCTGAAGAATAGTAAGGTCTCTCGGGCTTGGTGCAATCGTTCTCAGGACGTCTTAGTTGACGTTCAAAGATACGGCCCGCACCTTGACATTAGTTCGGGCTCTTAAAAAGTTTAACCACATTGATAATAGTAGGGAGCCGAAACAGCCTGACATGTCGAGCCCGACTTTGCGCATTGTCAGCATCAAGTAATCTCCTACGATTTTAGAAGAAGTCAACTTACAACACAAGTGGTACAGCCGGTGTACCCTTCGCCACCACACTGAGCATACTTGGCAACAGTGCAGCCGGGCAGCCCACCAGAGGCCGTCGGCAGTGGCACGCTCGATGCGGTTCCAGTAGGTCCAGAGCCAGCGGTGCACGTCGACTCGCAGCCAACGCAAGCAGCACCGGCACTCTTGGTCGAGCCTCCGGCGTACACAGTCGGGCCCGGCACGACGTAGGTAGTCAGGGCCCTGTGAATATCGACAAGTATGCCAGCATCAGAAGCCTTGTAGGCGCCAGGGAATGAGACGGTGCCGGGGGAAGCACTTCCTCCGCCAGTCACGGTGAGTTGGAAGCAAGTCATGTACAGCTGGGCGCCACCGCTCGAGCCGGCCGCGTGCAGGGCAATGGACTCGGCGCGAAGGAGGTAGTCTCCGGCGGGGATGTCTGAGGGAATCTTGACCTGGACTTTACCACAGCAGGTGTTCATGTCCTTTGATCCCCAATTGTCGCCGTCGCCGTTTGCACTGCCGGCCGCGGCGGACCATCCGTCTTGGTAGATCTTGAACCAGCCGGTCGAGCCGTCGGCGGTAGTAGCGTCGGAAACCTTGGTCATGTAGGCGAGAACGGGGCCGTAGTGTGCGCCTCCGATGGCTTCTTGGGTGCATGTTCGGTCGTTGGGTTGCTGTAAGCGAGGACGTTAGATCTTACATGGAACATTCATATCGAACTGTGTGGTTCAACGTACCTGATGCATCTCGACAACAACTGAGGATCCGGCCTTGACCACACACTTGCGAGCAACTGGGCCGCCGTTGGCATTGCATCGAACATCGTTGGAAGTGACGTCTTGAACGGGTGAGTTTGAAAGCGGGAGTCGGGCACATTGGCCGCCGAACTACTACTAGTCAGCGCAAGCTTGCGATTTCTCATTTCAAGGGCTTGGGCATACGTCTACTCCATC